TCCTCTGGGGAATTCAATAAAACGCACTGAGCAACCGGTGGATTTCATTTTCATTAAATTTGCATATACATATTAGGTTATATCCCCATAGTTATGGACCATTCATAACAAAATTTTTAAAAAAATGTGGTCGGTATACTTTTGTTCAAGTATGTTATTCATCAGGTAGATTTATTAAATGGGAAAAACCTAATTTGAACTCAGTAGAGAAAACAGTAGATTTTGAATGTTCTTTCCCGGGACGGTGGATAAAAATGTCATAACATGCAGGGACGCTTACGAAAGCAATGAAATGGTTGATAGGTTGGTTGGTTGGTAGGACCGAATTCTTTCAATATATTCAACTGTTCCTGAATGTGTCTGTGCTTTCTCTGCTGTTAATAAAATCCTATTCATTCAAATACTTACCTTTTTAGATAAGGGTGATATGTGCTATTGTACAAGAGGGCAAAATAGATTTGTAAGATCAACACAATGGTTGTCGTACAAGCTAGAAACAGTTGTCGTATTAAACAATTTAACTCCCTGAGGGGATCCATGCCCGAGGTATACCGGTCGTCATTTTTGCGTGCACGATACGAAAAACATGCAAACTAACTTTCGAACTTCTTAGGCAGGAATAAATACAATCGCAAGAATAACGTGGCCAATAGATATTTCTGAAGGATCATCAATATAGCCAAAACTTCTAAACTTAAATGGTAATACACCCTATCGACTGAGCTGAAACTGTAAAAAATAAAAATGATAATAATAAAGAAAAAATAAAGAAAATACTTTTGAAGAGCTATGTCTGCTATTTTTTCATCATCCCTTAGCCTACTTACATACAAGACTGAAAATACGTATGCACAACAGTACATGCCAAAATATTAATTTAGATTCAAAAAGGAAAAAAACTTTCAACCTATAACCGTACTAAGGATTTTCCAAATCGGTATTGCATTGCATTTAACCAGTATTAAGTTTTACCTTTTTATATAATATATATATTTTTTATTACCATAGCGACAAGTCAAGAGGGGATGCGTTTAACGTAACTTCAAAAACAGCCTCCGGCAAAAATTCAGCACTTGCTAATTAAAATTCGGTGCACGTTTCCCTAAAGTCAGACACATAAATATATGGTTAATTTCAGTGTCCCACAAATTCTACTGGTTCGTAATGTGAGCCAATTTAGATTCTGCCAATGCCCTTGCGTTGTAAAGAAAATAAGGCAATAGAACTCGAAAATTCAATATTTGAAACAGTGGTCTCTTTTCATACTTGATATTTTCCCATAATAAAGGCTGGCATGGTAACGGGAGGAACGTCGTTGTGCTTGAGAGGCTCACGTTGTACGCGAAGAGCTCCGCTGAACATTACACTGATAACGACTTTGAAATCGATAAGGAGCTAGCGAGATTTTAGGATTTGAACTTTTAATATTTTTCGGCACATTTAGGATTAGAAAGGGTTTTGAAATCGATAAGGAACTAGCGAGATTTTTGTATTAATACTTTTAATATTTATCACATTTAGAATTTTAGTTTTTTTTTTTAATTCTTCTCCAACGTTAATTCTTCTTCAATGTTGATTAAGAATAAGTCCAAGAAACATTCGGAGCTTTTTAAGAATACATTAATATAAAAAGAAGAGTTGATGTAACTCCTTTTGTAGATTATTTATATTTATTTTAATTTATTATTTATATTCTTATTTACTACTTTTCTCCATTTCATACAGCTTTCCTCTTATTGACTTTGTAATATTAGATTTGTTTGTTTGTTTTTTTGCTGTTTTTTTTTTATCTAGTAATCAATGAAGAACTATCATTATTAAAAATATTATTATTATCCTCATTAAACACGGCCTCTATATGACTTGCTTGAGTCTTCCTTAAACCATGATCTTCGGTGTCTAAGACTTTGCGAACACGAACTGAGCACGTTGTCTGCAATGATTCCAAACATGTGACACCAATCTCTGCTAACCACTTTTCTAAATCTTTCGAGACAGTTCCTAATGCACCAATAGACCTTTTTACCGATACGGCGGCCATATTGAATTAATTGGACTTAAGGAGTATTATGGGATGCCCGGGAGGGGCATGAGCACGATACGATATACTTGCTCAGTATTTTCGCGCGCTTTTCGGGCCAATTTTTCATTAAGTTTTCCTAGAAAAAGATCGTAATGGGAAAAAATATCGTTGTACTGTGTTTGGATGTAATAATGCTCTCCTTTTTCCTGAGAAATATACAGTGAAGTTCTCTTTTTTCCAGAATTGGGCGTAAATACTGAGCGAGTGCCCCTCTGGGCATCCCATAATACTTCTTAGATGTAATGAATTCAATATTCAACAAGGCCGCCATATCGGTAAAAAGATCTATTATGATTGGCACCACAGTTACTATGCGCAATAGACCATTTTACCGATACGTCGACTATGTTGAATTAATTAGATTTAAGGACCATTATGGGATGCCCAGGGGTTATGGGCACGATCCGGTATCCTCGCTCGGTATTTACGCGCGCTTTTCGGGGCAATTTTTCATAAAAATTTTCCCAGAATAAGATTGTAATGGGAAAAAAGATCATTGTGCCGAGTTTGGATGTAATTTTGATCGCCGTGTTCCCGAGAAATATATGGCGAAAGACCATACCAGTTCTTCAGAGGTACGTTCCTGCTCTTGTAAGGACTTAAGGCACTTGGCTAGTTGGACGAGACAACTGAGCCGGAAGGGATTTAAGGTGAATAAAAAAATACTTAAGTTTGCTCAAATTATTTTACATTTGGAAGACCAGTTGACAGTCATCCTCATCCCACGCTCTTTCTGAAGGGCTATGATCGGGAAATAGTAACACGTTAAAGGAAACCTCCCGTGGACAGGCTTCCAGTGCAACCAATTAGGCCTAAAAGGAGGAAGTCAGACATTGATTCTAAACAGCTTGAGAAGAAAAAAAAAAGAAACAATTAATTTTATGGACAATCCGAAGAAACTGCAAGTCTGCTGTTTTATTATTGTCTCTTTTGTCACAGACAAAGATGTCTTCGGAACGCTTAAATGACAACAAAAAACAGCTGGACATTGTTGGCTTGCAGAAGTAAGACGTGACTGATGGTGCCCCAAACACTGGAAAAAAAGCCTTTTTGTGTGCGCGCAAGATCTATGTTACATTTCAAAAATGCTGACAGAGTTAATTGTGTTCAGTTCGTTGGGGGAATAAAATGCTTTTACTTCTGCTGTTTAACCCTCGGACGCACACTCAAACTCATACCCCATCCGTGGTACAAGGGGGGTGCCTTAGATGGAATCCCTCCCCGGAGTTGTTGATATGATGTAGTGTTTCGAAATGATTTTACCTTTAGTGGAAAGCCTTTGATCTTCTCTACAAAATGAGGTATATTTTATTGGTGGCGGCACTGCTGGAGGCCTGTGACGTCACCAACAATGGTAGCTATCTNACATTTGGAAGACCAGTTGACAGTCATCCTCATCCCACGCTCTTTCTGAAGGGCTATGATCGGGAAATAGTAACACGTTAAAGGAAACCTCCCGTGGACAGGCTTCCAGTGCAACCAATTAGGCCTAAAAGGAGGAAGTCAGACATTGATTCTAAACAGCTTGAGAAGAAAAAAAAAAGAAACAATTAATTTTATGGACAATCCGAAGAAACTGCAAGTCTGCTGTGTTATTATTGTCTCTTTTGTCACAGACAAAGATGTCTTCGGAACGCTTAAATGACAACAAAAAACAGCTGGACATTGTTGGCTTGCAGAAGTAAGACGTGACTGATGGTGCCCAAAACACTGGAAAAAAAGCCTTTTTGTGTGCGCGCAAGATCTATGTTACATTTCAAAAATGCTGACAGAGTTAATTGTGTTCAGTTCGTTGGGGGAATAAAATGCTTTTACTTCTGCTGTTTAACCCTCGGACGCACACTCAAACTCATACCCCATCCGTGGTACAAGGGGGGTGCCTTAGATGGAATCCCTCCCCGGAGTTGTTGATATGATGTAGTGTTTCGAAATGATTTTACCTTTAGTGGAAAGCCTTTGATCTTCTCTACAAAATGAGGTATATTTTATTGGTGGCGGCACTGCTGGAGGCCTGTGACGTCACCAACAATGGTAGCTATCTGTACCGCCATCTTGTATTTTTGGAAGTATTAGAAATTAGCTTAAAACCACGAGAAATAGTATTTTTTGTGCATTACATGAAAAATAAGAGGTAAATAAGCACCTTGCATGATTTTAGCGACAAGATTTACTTTTATTGTTGACAGAAGTTGAAAAAACAAAAATGGCTTGAACACCTGCTACTTATGGCGTCATATCTCGTAACCATAGCAACTGATCATCACTAGACTTGTCTCAAAATGTGCGTAAGGGATAAACAAACTACTGAAAACGTCAAGTGCTGATGTTTTATCTTCTAGAAAAAAACTCAGGAAAACCTTAAGGGGAGGTTGGTCCGATGGTTAAGACTAAAAGAACGTTGTTATATTCCATTCGGGTTATACCTATTAAAACAGCTTCAAAAGCATTGAGGATACTGCGTTTATACTTGGTCATGATAAAAAGAAAGTGGCTTTGTCAAAACCATCTCCCAGATTAAACTCGCCCCTATAGTTCAGTGAAAAGTAAAAGCTTCTCCACTTTGGTGAAATGCATGTAGCCTGCGGCTGCAATTTTAAAGTTAAAAATTAGGGCGCACTAATCTCCGACTACTAACGGTAATTAAAATAAGACAGTTGGTTAAAAAAATAATTGTCATGTACGGTAATTACATTTACTGTTTATTTTGTGTAACAAAGTGTTATATGTAGCCCCGATATCATTTCACACGAAACTAAGAATGTATTAAATGTTTGCCAATTGTCAGCGACTACAAAGACCTTTGTGAAAGTCCACCGTGACGTAGCTGACAGAATTTAAGAAAATGCAAGACTGCAGCAAAGGACTTTGCCTGTCAAAGTCTAACCTTGAGATTACCCCTTTAACTAATAAAGCATGATTACGAATTACTTTTTAAACAACTAATTCTTCTTTTACAAGTTAACAGAGAAACAGTTTGTTTTCTGAATGATGCATCAGCAAACGCATAAATGATCGGATTAAGTATCGAGCTTGAGAGACAGATAACCTCCGCCGGGGGTCTAAGCCATTCTCTTGTTTCTTTCTCCAACTCGACGAACGACTCAAACAGTTCTAGCGTCATTATAGGACCCCAGCTCATAAGAAAGTTAAGTACCAGCAACATAAGGATAATCACAGTTTTCCACTTAGACTTGATCACTGACTGGTTCAGAATTGATTTCTTTCCTCTGTCCTTCAAGAAGTAAAACACCCGAGAATAGCAGATTGTCATAATGCAGAAAGGAATGAAAAATCCACAAAGGAAATACGACATGAATGATATCTGGGTTTCGAGAGAGTTTGGAGGTCCAGCAATACAAAATGACTTCGGAGATTGGAGAAGAAATTCTCCGCCAGATGCGTTCATTTTAACGCGTGAGATCGATGAATTCCTGTTTCCTGCTGCTCCAAATCGGCGACTAAATCTAACACTCGTTGAAGTGAGGAGAAAGCCTGTTGACACCGCAATTGAGCAGAGCCAAATCAAGAGAAGGGTCTTTTTACGATGATTGTACGATCTAGTTTTGAAGCTCTGCAATGGATAGATGATGTTTTTACTGCGATCTAAAGCAATGCCTGCTAACAGAGAAAATATAACGGCTGCACAAATGTATTGAACGAACACGATTATTTTGCAGTGGGTTAGACCAAGTGCTCCATCAGTCACTCTCTCGCTAATCAGTTCGTAACATTCTAGAATTCTAAACGCAACGTCCACCACAGCCAGCTGAAAGATGAAAAATTTGGAGAGCGTTTTACGGTGGTCTTTTGTTTTTACCATTGCCATACAGACCACTAGATTGGATGCTAATGCCACGATTAGAAAAATATAACGAAAACAGGTTAAAATCATGTAATAATTAGCCATTTCTTTGGAAAATTTGACCATTTTCTGCTCTGCGCTATCCATAATTATTCGCCCTGAAAGGGCTGGCTAAATTTAGGCAAAAAATTTTAATATTTTCTAGAGGTTTGTATCGAAAAATTATTACCTTTTGTTCGTTAAACAATGCAAAACACCAGTTTCGAAAAAGAAACAAAAGATTGAATATTTTTTCACCTGGCCTGGCTTTCATTTTTTGGTTTTAAATATGTCGTCAAAGAAAAAGCTTAGAGACAACTCAACCGTTCAAAAAAAAAAATGGATAATTTTTGTTCAATCTTCTTACGTTGCTCAACTTCGGACATTTATTGTTGGGTGCATCGAGAGGACGTTGGTGAGCGAGCCTTTGCAGAAAGGAAGTCACCAGCTAAAACGACAAAGACTTCCTGAGCCAAAGCCGCAGAATACCATTTGAACTTCCGTGCTGTCAATCACCTGTACACTTGCAAATTCAAAAGGCAATCAGTTTAGGGGAAATATTAAATTTCATATAAGCCTCCGATACTAATATAATGCATTTAGAACAGTTTGAATTTCACATTACGTCACTAAAACTCAAACTACAAAACTATCGTTCCTACTGAGATTTTACTTTCATGGTGTATTAGAGCAGCTGAAAGCTAATTTTCAAACGAATTTTCGCATCAAAAGGGTTCTTGGTTTTGTAATAGAGTACGGTTGAATTTCTAAGCTTTCGCGTGACGCAGCATTTACATGACGGCCGAGAGAGCTGTCATTTAGGTTAAAAAATTGACTCTTTTCGAGGAATTTTGCTATCTAAACAGTTCAAGTATTAGAAAAAGTATTACTTTAATGTTTATGAGTTCCTCTAGGAGTAAATTCACGCTTTTGTAGCAAAACTCGGTGACAGATGTTTCCGTTGGTTTTCGTCCGCCATGTTGGAGCTCATCCAGATGAGCTCCAACATGGCGTCTCCATACAAAGCTCTATAAATTTGGGCAAAACATTTCCTCGGATATCTCGTATACCAATCATTCCTTCGACCCAAATCTTGGCGAGGGTCTTTGTATATTTACCTCCTTTCATTTCCCAGATTCTGGACTTTATCTGTCGAATGGTTTTGATTTTTATTTTGATCTACTTTGAATGGCGTGACACTGAGAACCAGCAATAGGTTCAAAGAGAAATTTGAAAACATTTTCTATTCCCCTTCCAAATTTTTTTCAATTTATCTATGCCTCCCAACCGGAGAGGGTCTTAAAAAAACTAAGCACCCGGCACTCAGAAAATTTATTATTTTTTTTTAATTAAGGTGACTCGACCCAGTTTTTTTTTTTGAGGGGGGGGGTACCATCCTACTTTGAAGCTCTCTGGTATCCCCACCTTTACTTTTATCGTAAGTCTAACACATAGAATGGATAACATATAGATCAATCTACAATATAACATAAAATTTTGGGCGATCGGAGTAAATGTCACGTGGTTATAATGCCACGCCCCTTTGAGGTCTGAGTCGAAAATCTGCTGTTGCCGGCATTTTTTCGTGAAAATCTCTCGGCTACACATAGTGCGCATTAGTGCCTTGCGCTGAACAGAGTTTCACCAAAATCGCAAAGACCCAATTCGAGAAATTCAGCGGTTTCCAAATTTAGGTCATAATTTATGCGAAAATGATAAGCAAACTTTACACGGATTATATCTAATAAACTATGAGATTCATCTCTTTATTTTGGGCATCGTTATAACAGATGGGTCCTTGCAAGTCAGCAAAACGCTTTAGGGCCTTGTAAATGCGCGCGATTTCGAGCAAAGCAAACATATAGAAATTATAGTTTTCGCTATTTGTTGACGTTTGTCAGCGTTTAAGAGTCAATCTCACGAAAAAAGCATTTTCTTAAAAATTCGTAGTTTTTTTTCCTTCAAATTTTTTCAGGGCCACAATTGATTAACTAACTACCCAGACTCTCAATTTCATGGTCATTGAAAAACTGTGAAATTACCTTCTATAAGCCCAAACTTGAGTAAACATTGAAGATTTTTAGCGTTTTGACCGAGTTTGTGTTTTGGGAGTTGTCTATTGTTTCTAGTCTGTCATTATACAGCATTCTTGTTCAGCACGCGTACAATTACCGCGCTTGGCTGACTTCCGAATGCTCACCGAGACTGTATAATGACAGACTGTATAATGTAAACCATATATTACATTAATGCATATACATTTATTAACATTTATGAATATACTCTTTTACTTTTTTGGCAATACTCGTACAATCTCTAACCGTCCGATCAGCCTTGCCTTCAATTTTACAGTAATTTTGTGTTATTCTATATTGCTGGCCCTGATCTAGACCTGGATCTGGCTTTCCCTCGCTTCTGTTTGTCCAGTTATTTAAGACGCCCTTGCAAGAAGTGTTCGCTAATTTTAGGATCTCTGTCATAACTGGTGAAGATACTGAAAAGCTTCTTTTGTTTGCTAGTTTGTTGTTGTTGTTGTTGTTGCTGTTGTTGTTGTTGTTGTTTTCAGTTTAGACGTCGTTGACGTGACGTGATTCGTGTCCACAGATATGCTAATCAGGATGAGTAATAACTGCGCAACAGCCGTGACCGAAACAGATAGCCCATCGTTGTGTTATGTAAGCTCGCACATTTGCTTCACCATGTCGTCGTCAGTGCTTGGCATGATTTACGATTCTCTCAGTCTCGGAAATATTTTTCTGCTGTTGCTTCTGTTGTTCCTTCTTCATTACCTGATGGTGCTCTACGAGTTTAGAAACATGCCACCCGGTCCTCGCTTCACAACTCTCCCTGTGCTTGGAAACATCTTTTCTCTCGACCTTGATGCTGAGACCGTGCCGGAAACATTCAGAAGGTCAGTATATAGAAAGTCCAATATCTGTTGAGCGGCCTTTTCGCCTCTGCTCATCCATCGCCCTCTTTTCAGCGGTCAATTAACAAATTCACTGCCATGTTTAGTATATAGATCGTTTTCACCGTCACGCAACATAAAAATAAATTGGAAACCGTCCAGTGGAAGAAGCCAAGAAAATGAAATGTTATAAAAGAATAATATATATATAATTTGTCCACGTCCCAGGTCTTTGTGGCCCACAGTTTCTGAGTTATTTCCCGAAACTTATCACGCACCTTTGTAGAGCTTTGCATGGAAGACGCCATATATGTGTACTGTTTTGGTCAACCAATATAGCCGCCGGAAATCAACAAAAACATCTGGAGTTCACTTTTTCTATAAAAAGTCTTTCTTTTCACTCGAGAACTAGGACACGGGCGCATAAACATATGTTCTAATACTTGAAATGGTTATACAGGTGAAAATCAAGAGCAGAGAATTTTCTTCAGCGAGACAGCATTCCTATTTTGCTGTCACTCACTGTGAAAACTCCGAATTTCAAATTTGCTGGGGGCGGGGGGGGGGGGGAGGGAAGGGCTCCCTCAATGAAATGGGTGGGGATACTCGCGGTGGTTCCGCTTTGGGGGGTAAATGCGTGGTGTTGGTTTCAATTT